GCACAGTTACATATCATTAATATCTACTTAACTACAGATGTATAGTCGTCCAAACATGCATCATCCAGTAAACAAATGTCTGAGTACTTTCATTTCATGTTTATCTCGAAAGCTACATCAATTTGAGTTCAAGTGTGCACCTGGAAATGAAAGAAGGAAGCAGAAAAATGAGGTATCAGCAGTAACCAACAACATCAGTAGTATTCAACACCTGAAAATTAACCAGCAGACTAATTTTGAAACCAAGGGATGTGATACGATAGTCAGACCCTAATTTCAATCTTAGTGAATCAGCAGACCTCAAACCCGACTCGACTTAAACCCTTTTTATTATCATCTAACCAGGAATTGCTTCCATACTAGAAGAAAACTTCAGAAAATATCAAATGACTCAATGAAACAGTGTATTTTTTTGAAATTCTGCAATCGTTTTTGATTTTTTTTCTGTATCTATTTCTGTGTATCTCTCTTCCTATATCTCTCTTAGAATCCCTTCCAAGTTTTCTTAGCTCTCTGCCCCTGTATATCTAGTGTATCCAAAGTGTATATCGAGTATATAGCGCTCTCTCCGCCCCCTTCTTTTTTTTTTCTCTCCGAATTTCCTAGCCTTATACCCTCTTTGAATGTTCTCCCTCTCTCAGAATCTCTTCCAAGTTTTCTTAGCTCTCTGCCCCTGTATATCCAGTGTATCCAGAGTGTATATCGAGTATATACCGCTCTCTCCGCCCCCCTCTTTTTTTTCCTTCTCTAATCTGATTTTCAGCTCCCTTAAATGGGCATTCAATTAGTGCATTTTCCACTACCAATTCAACTTTTCATTTCCTTAATCATCCACTTAATTGTCCACTCAATTAGTGCTTTTTGTTAATTTGATAATGCAAATACTACCCTACCACTATTAGAAGCTTCTCAATTAGTAAATTGACCCAATTAGATTTTCCTCTTCTTATTCTCAATGGGTTTGACTGAGTTTTGGTTTTGGGCCTGGCTAAATTAGTCCAACCAGATTTTCTTCTTCTTATTCTCTTTTCCTTTTCAATTTTCTTTTCCTTTTCTTTTCAACAATTAAAACTAAAATCCTAATTAATTATAAAAAAACAAATTAACTTAAAAATACTAATTAATTCTAACTAATAATTATCACAAATAATTAAATGCCAAATTAAAAGAAAATCACACAATTTGACTAAAATTACAAAAATATGTTATATTTTTTTTTTGAATTTTCATTTTTGTAAAACATCTAATTATTAATTAATTCCAAAAAATGTAAAAATCAAATCTCAAATGAAAATGCTATATTTTTGTATTTTTAATGCATTAACAAAATTAAACATGCACACAAATATATGCGAACAATCAGGGAAATCACACAATAATTCCTAAAAATAACACATAATTAAAGAAAAGACCTAATTTTGGGAATTCTTTTGGAGTAATTCGTATGAGGCAAAAAATCGCGTGCTCACACATGGTATGCATTTGGATCAATCAACCCAGTCTATTTAACCAATCTCCTCTCCAATTGTTTTACTTTGTTCTCCAAGATTTCCACAACCCAATTTTACTTTCCGTCAACTTACGGACCTCGTTCGACTTGCCGTTCCCTGAAGGGTTTTCACCGACAAACCTCTCTCATTTGTTGATTCCTCAATTATTTGTCGTCTGATGGTGCCCGTGAAGGTTTTCACCAATAAGACTCTCTCATTTTTATTTTCTCTCAGCTTTCGTCGTCTCGTGGTGCCCATGAGGGTTTTCACCAATAAGACTCTCTCATTTTTTGATTTTTCTTACTTAAACTGTAGTGTTGCCCCTGATATGAATTCTCTGTACATTGCTCGACTTGGCATCTCTCAAAGACTGATCGGAAGGTCTTTCTTTGGACCGTAATGTGGGCTTTTGGATAGGGTTAGAAAGAAAGGGTATCAAAGGCTCAAAGCAATTTTGACACGGGTTTTAAAATTACAACTCTTGGAATCACATTTCTTATTACAAGTACAACTTCTGCCCTAGTTTCTTGCTTGGAGATCTTTTGATATTTTACTTTACTATGACCGAGCCGGGAAGCTGCCTACGTATCCTTAACAGGAATCAGGTCAAACGTAGTTCACACTTGAATTTCCTTGTTGTTATACTTTTCACTTCTTTTCTCTTCTCTTTTTTTTCTCTCTTTCTCGTTATTGATTCCAAAAGAGGGGTATGAAAGAAATAAATAAGGCTCAAAAGGGGGAACAAATGGTGAAGTGTTTAGATAGCAGAACAAATTGCCTTCGTCATTCCAATCTTCGAAATAATGCCAAATACAAACAATCAACAGTTATAACAAAGAAATCATACATAATATCTTTTTACTGCATCAGAATTGATAGTCATGTCTATGCATTTTCCTTCGATATTCGTTAAACATATAGCACCATTGGACAATACTCTGGTCACAACAAATGGCCCTTGCCAATTTGGGGCGAACTTGCCTTTCGCTTCAGCCTGGTGTGGAAGGATACGTTTCAGCACCTGCTAGCCCACTTCAAACTTTCTAGGACGTACCTTTTTGTTGTATACTCTTGCCATTCTCTTTTGAAACAACTGGCCATGACACACTGCTGCTAACCTTTTTTCATCAATCAAATTCAACTGCTCCAAACGGGTCTTGACCCACTCATTATCATCGATTTCAGCCTCAGCGACAATCCGAAAGGACGGGATTTCAACTTCCGCAGGTATCACTACTTCAGTTCCATATACCAACAAATAAGGAGTCGCACCTACTGAAGTACGGACAGTAGTGCGATAGCCCAGCAACGCGAACGGTAATTTTTCATGCCATTGCCTGGAACTTTCTACCACTTTCCGAAGTATCTTCTTTATGTTTTTGTTGGCGGCCTCAACTGCTCCATTCGCCTTGGGACGATATGGGGTAGAATTGCGATGTGTAATCTTAAACTGTTGGCATACCTCTTCCATCAATTTACTGTTAATATTAGCACCATTATTTGTGATGATCACCTTTGGGATGCCGAATCGACAGATGATATTTGAGTGAACAAAATCGACCACTGATTTCTTGGTCACCAATTTGAAAGTTTTGGCCTCAACCCACTTGGTGAAATAATCAATGGCTACCAGAATGAATCTATGCCCGTTGGATGCTGCTGGCTCAATTGGTCCAATGATATCCATGCCCCAAGCAACGAAGGGCCATGGTGCCGACATCGTGTGTAATTCCGATGGTGGAGAATGAATCAAATCTCCGTGTATATGGCATTGATGACATTTGCGCACAAAACTGATACAATCTCGCTCCATGGCAAGCCAATAATAACCTGCTCGGAGAATTTTCTTTGCCAGCATATACCCGCTCATATGTGGTCCGCACACTCCTGAATGTACTTCGGACATGATAGCCGTAGCTTGTCTAGCATCTATGCATCTTAACAATCCAAGTCTGGTGTTCTTTTATACAAAACTCATCAACTTAAGAAGAATCCACTTGTCAACCGTCGAATTGTTCTCTTCTGATCCCCCGTGGCTTGCACTGGATATATCCCCATTCTGATGTACTCCTGGATATCATGAAACCACGATTCGCCATCAAGGTATTCTTCAATCATGTTGCAGTAAGCATGCTGATATCGTACTTGAATATGCAGAGGATCGACATAAGCTTTGTCCGAATGGTGCAACATTGATGCCAGGGTAGCCAAAGCATCGGCGACCTCATTATGGACCCTCGGAATATGCCTAAACTCCACTGATCGAAACCGTTGACAAAGATCATGTAAACATTGTCGGTATGGTATGATCTTCAAATCTCATGTTTCCCATTCTCCTTGAATTTGGTGTACCAGAAGATCCGAGTCTCCCAAGACCAAGACTTTCTGAACATCCATGTCTGCAGCTAGCCTTAAACCCAAAATACATGCTTTATACTCAGCCATATTGTTGGTGCAATGGAATCGAAGCCGAGCCATAACGGGATAGTGACGCCCTGTTTCAGAAATAAGCACGGCTCCTATCCCCACTCCTTTCATGTTAGCAGCCCCATCGAAGAAAAGTTTCCAACCTGGTTTTTTGGCTTGTTATTGCTCGTCAATATGCATCACCTCTTCATCAGGAAAATAAGTCCTCAGTGGCTCATACTCTTCATCGACCGGATTTTCGGCCAAATGATAGGCCAATGCTTGGGCTTTCATTGCAGTCTGAGTCACATAGATTATGTCAAACTCTGTGAGCAAAATCTGCCACTTCGCTAGTCTTCCTGTTGGCATAGGCTTTTGAAAGATATACTTCAGCGGATCCAAGCGTGAAATGAGGTAAGTAGTGTAGGATGACAAATAATGTTTCAATTTCTGTGCCACCCAAGTTAAGGCGCAACATGTCCTTTCCAGGTGAGTGTACTTAACCTCATAAGCTGTGAACTTCTTGTGAGCACGTGATTTTTGCCCTATGGGAATTACTCCCAAAAATTAAAAAAAAAACAAAATGGTTTTGTGTTGTTTGTGATTTATTTGTATTTTTGTCTGTGCATGTTTATTTCTACTTTAATTAAGAAAAATACAAAAATATGTGTTGCATGTGCATTTAGGATTTAATTTTACAATTTAGGATTTAATTAAACAGGTTTGTTTTACCAAAATTGGAAAAATCACCAAAAAATATGCAGTTTTAGCATTTAATGTCCAAATTGTGTGATTTTATCGTTAATTGCTATGTAATTGTGTCTTAATTATTATTAAGAGTTAATTAGTACTTTTATAAATTAATTTAGTTCTATAGGTTAATTTAGAATTTTTAGAATTTTAGTTATATTTTAAGAAGAAAAAAGAAAAAAGAAGCAATGGAAATAAAAGAAGAAGAAAATCGGATTGGGCCTTTTCTTCAATTTTAAACTACAAACCCAAAGAACCAAACCCCCACCGGGTCGACCTGACCTGGTCCGCCCTATAACCCAAACGAACCCCAACCCCCCTTTTCTATTTTTCATTTTTCATTCCCTAACAACAACAAAAGAAAAACCCTAAAAAGAAAGACACCCGCCCCACCCCTGCTGTTTCATCTTTTTCGTCGTCTTCTCCAGCGGCGACCACCAACAGCCCAGCCTCCGCCTCGTCGTCGAAACCAAGAGACCAGTCTGCTTCTTTTATCCCCATAACCACCAACGAGCAACTCCAGCTCGAACGCCCGTCGACCACTCTTCAGTCGAGCAACTGCCATCTCCATTCCCGTCGACGAACAACCAAACCAGGGACGCGACCAACCAGCCTCACCGTCGACTCCATCAGCTCTCCGACCACAGACGAACGTCCATCTCCAAACCACCACACATGAGCTTCATTATCAACTGCTTCACGTCTTCCTCACTTCGTCGTTCACCTCCAGCCAAGCCAGCCCGTCGCCAGCTGACCATCGACCACCCTTTTTCCGTCAAGCAACAGTGAGCAGCAACATCTCCAAGCCACTGCTGCTCCAACTCCACTGTCACGCCAACGACCCTTTTGTCGTCTCCCAGTCTTTTTCCATAACCACCCTCCAGTCCAAAATGAGACCAGCCATCCGAGGTCGGGCTTAGTCGTACGTCGAAGCAGTGCGTTGAGGTTCCGTTTGAGTCCGTGTCTGTTAATCAAGCGTCAAAACAGTGTCGTGAATGAAGCTGTGTTTCATCGGAAGTTCATCATTGTTCGACGTCGGATCATTAGCATAAAGGTCAGCCATAACTCGTCCACGGATTTTTTGTTTGCTTTTTCTTTGGAATTTCGTTTTCACTGTGTGTAACGGAGCAAGAAAGTGCAGTAGTAAAGGTCATATCTCTTACCTCGAAGCTATGTTATTCACGGACCTATTTGTGGTTTCGTTTTAATATGTGAGTTCATTTTGATAAAATTTCCGCATGAAGTATCCTACGGCATATTCATTGAAATTATATGTGTGTGCGTTTTGACGACTTTCCTACTATTTTGAGTTCAATTGATAATTGTGTTTAGTGATTTGGATCTACTTGTTTGTTCTGCTAAGTTTGTTTTGATGTGAATCTAGCTTTGTTGAATTGTCCTAATGTTGTTGATTGGAAGTTAGTTTCATGTGTTCAATTAATCAATTGTTAGGCTTGATTTGGTAATAGCTGATATGGTTTGTAGTACAGATTAAAAGGGATCGGGGTAGGATGGTAATTTCATTAGTTTCAGGGGTATTTTGGGATTTAAAGTCTTAAAAATGATTAATTTGAGTGCTTCGTCCACTAAGCGCTAATAATGTTAAAATAATACATTGTTTAATATAGTGGGGGACAAAACATATAGTAGTGGGGAATAATGGAATTAAATAAAGAAAAGATAAGGGTAGTGGGGAACAAGTGAATTAAAAAGGGAACAAGACAAGTGTAGTGGGGAGCAAAACATATACTAGTGGAATTAAAAGGGGATGATGGGCAGAATTAGTGGAAAATTCTGCCCAAAGTGTTTTTAAAAGTTGAGGGGCGGGGACAGTTGGGAAAGAAAAAAGTCACTTAAGGAGGATAAGAGGAGGGGAACTCGAAAAAATCTGAAGGGAGGCATTGAGAGGACTTTTTTTTAGGCAGTAAGGGTTTAGAGTAAAAAAACAAATAGAAAAGTCTAAAGATAGGCACACACCTCCTGACTTTGAGAGGATTAATTTTTGAGAGCTTGCGAGTTAAAAAGAATAGTTACTGTTTTCATTGCCTCAGTTAGGATCTGAAATAGCTAGAACCTTTCTTCTTTTTACTTCTGCTCTATACTTGGGGAGGTTTATAGTTGCTGGTTATTTGTTGTTGCACTACTGTTGCAACTTCTGTTTGTTACTACTGTTGCTGCTGACCCTCTTCTTCCTCTTCTTGTATTGTCAATACCAGGTACACTATTGCATACTTCAAATGACTGTAGGCCGAAAAAATGTGCAGAAATAATGCTATATGAAGAAGCGAAGCTTGTTTCTGATTTAACCTCTTTTTGAGTTGTGTGTTTAAATTCTACTGAGGATATAGATCCCTGTTAGTCTATAATAGTTGGACTGAAATTAAGTTGTATGAATTTCTCCTGTTGTTAAAAAACATGGTTCATACTACTACATGTGGGCATCTATGAAGTTAGGAACGATCTTAATGGACTGTTAAAACCAATCGGAAGCTATAGTTGTTAGATTAGGTTCTATTAGTTCTGAGTATTTAGCTTGCACACTATTTGATAATTTAGATATCACTGCAGCAATTGAAAAGAAGAGAAGATTGTAAATGTGACTAGCATTGTTAGATAGCACCAGTCGTAGACGTCAATTATGATTTTAGCATTTCTGATTGTGTTGTTCTGCTGTTAAGTAATCGTAGATTTCTCAAAACAATTGGTAATGGCTCACTAGTTTTGAAGCAAGAACATGTAATTCAAATTAAGGGTACTGGTTGCCCGAATTGACGTTAATAAAGATAATGTTAAACCCAATTGGACTTGATGCATGATATAAGCCACTTCCTATATGTAAATAACGAACAATAGAATGAGTAGGAGTGATATTTGCGTTTTATTCATGTAACTGATGTTTTGACTTGGGGCCTTGCCCTCAGCCGTTGTTTAATTGGGCTCACATTTGGGCCCAAGCTGGCGTTTGTACTGATTCCTTACACGTACTGTAGAAAGGCCCAAAACCGTTGAATGATTTGAATTTATGCGCCCGTGAACCCCAGTTATAACAAATCTTATTGTACCGGACTTTGTGAATTAAGTTGATTGAGTAGGATTTCAAATTCTTTTAAAGATAAATAAGAATAGAAAAAATGTAGTCACTTTAGGATTGTCCTTTCAAAATAAATGAGATGAGCCTTGCCTAGTAAAACGCACCGATTGCGGGGCCCTCACGATTGTATATATATTAATTACTTAGAACTCAGGATCGGCCGCTTAGCGAATTTCACGGCCTTTTTCCCCAAAGTAATAACGCGTTAGTCACTGTTAGGCGCATACTTTTAATAATTTACTTTCTTAAACTCGGGTGCACATTTATGTGACCCAAATCCAAATCTCAACGAAGTCGAAATGTGTCGTTAATCACGGGTACATTGATTGTGACGTGGTTTGAGATGCATTTCCATGACGTTGCAAATTCCTTTAAAAAATAATGAATGAGATGAGCCTCGACAAACAAGAATACACAAACTGCGAGGCCCTCAACAGACAGTTATTTCAAATGCTTAGATTTCAAGACAGGCCGCATAACGAACTTTACGGTTTTTCTCAAAATAACAATGCGTTAATATCTTTAGGCGCGTATTTAATAATGTTATCTTCCTAAACTCGGGTGCACATTTATGTGACCTAAATCCAAATCCCAACGAAGTTGGAACGTATCGAAAATTGCGGGTACATTTATGTGGCGCAATTCGAGATGCATTCTCACGACGTTGCAATTCTTTGAATAAATAATAACAAAAGCGGTAAACAGTTAAAATTTGCACATAGGTTCATAATTGTATAAAATCAGATAATCAAGCCGAATATGACAGTTGAGCGACCGTGCTAGAACCACGGAACTCGGGAATGCCTAACACCTTCTCCCGGGTTAACAGAATTCCTTATCCGGATTTNTTAAACAGAGTCATTCTTTTCCTTGATTCGGGATTCAACCGGTGACTTGGGACACCACAAATCTCCCAAGTGGCGACTCTGAATCTTTAAATAAAATCCCGTTTCGATTGTCCTTTAATTGGAAAAACACCTTCTACGCCCTTTTGCGGGGGCGTAGGTAAAAAAGAGGTGTGACACTTCTTGCTAAGATAGTAGATGGCTTGTTCTTTCCTGCCGGTGACGTCATGTTGCCCCAGTACGCAGCCAAATGAATTTTCCAGGACAGTCAAGTAAAGAATCAAAGGTCTCTCTGGTTCTGGTGGTACCAGCACAGGCGGGTTAGACAAGTATCCCTTTATCTCGTCGCATGCTTCTTGACACTCATCAGTCCACTTGATCGCAACATCCTTCTTCAGCAACTTGAAAATAGGCTCACAAGTTGTTGTGAGCTGAGCAATAAATCTGCTGATATAGTTCAATCTTCCTAATAGACTCATCACTTCAGTCTTGTTCCTCGGAGGGGGCAATTATTGTATGGCTTTGATCTTCGATGGTCCAACTCGATGCCTCGCCGACTGACTATGAATCCCAACAATTTTCCGGATGGAACACCAAATGCACACTTGGCGGGGTTAAGCTTGAGGTTGTAACTGCGAAGCCTCTGGAAGAATTTCCTCAAATCCTCGACGTGGTCGACCTGATGTTTTGATTTTATGATCACATCATCTACATATACCTCAATCTCCTTGTGTATCATATCATGAAACACAGTAGTCATTGCTCTCATATAAGTTGCCCCAGCATTCTTCAACCTAAATGGCATTACCCGGTAGCAATAAGTTCCCCATGGCGGATGAAGGCTATCTTTTCCGCATCTTCTTCGTCCATTAGAATCTGATGATACCCGTTATAGCAATCCACAAAACATCCAATCTCACGCTTGGCACAATTATCAATCAAAATGTGGATATTGGGTAGTGGGAAGTTATCCTTCGGACTTGCTTTGTTGAGATTGCGGTAATCGACGCATACTCTGATCTTGCCATCCTTCTTCGGTATAGGCACAACATTAGCCAACCAAATAGGATATCGAGTGACCCGAATAACCTTTGCATCCAACTGCTTGGTAACTTCTTCTTTAATCTTCACACTCATATTAGTTTTGAATTTCCTCAACTTTTGCTTGATGGGAGGGAATGCTGGATCAGTGGGCAATATGTGGACCACTAAATCAGTGCTTAAACCCGGCATATCGTCATATGACCACACATAAATATCTTTGTACTCGATGAGTGTTTTGATTAACTCCTCCTGGATTTTCGGCTCGAGGTGGACACTTATTTTAGTCTCTCAGACATTGTCTGTGTCCTCTAAATTGACGGCCTCTGTGTCATTCAGGTTGGGTTTGGGTTTTTCTTCAAAGTGAATTAACTCCTTACTAATTTCTTCGAAGGCTTTATCGTCATCATCATATTCTGATTCGTAATCACAATCTACTTCTTGAACTAACATTACGGAATCAGATTAATTTTTAAGACTGGGCTGAGGATTCCTTATGCATACGACGTCATTAGAACCACCGTAAAAAGAACTGTATAGAAAAGAAAACAAAAGGAAAACCATCAGGAATGATGAAGAAAGGAAAATTGTATTTTATTGAATGATAAAAGATAACAAGGTTTGCACACTCAAACAGACTGAAAAATGAAATCCGGATTACAACCCTGGAATAATTTGTACAAACTTAAAGGAAAATCAAAGCAAACTACCAAGACTCCTTCCGAGTAGGGAGAGGAGTAGCCTTCCAATTATTAAGCTTTGTTGTTGGCCCAACAAATTGCACTTCCGCGTTGCTAGAACCGGCTTTGGAAGGACCCATGTCCTCTATTTCAATTTCCTGGCTCTTTTTACATCTGCGACTGTGGGCTTGAATCCTAGACCAAATGTTCCCAAGTTTTTGGGAAGAGACATGGGTTGTATGATGCCTTGCAGAGCCGATCCCAAACCCTTTCTTGGTACAAAACCTTTCTTCAACATTTCATACTCTACCATGACTGATGCGGCGGTTATCTCCAGATTTGGGATACACTTCCCCTATGGAACTTTCTTGACTGACATTGTGTCAGAAACTTGGTAGACCCATGGTCCCTTGTCATCTTCCACCTCAATGAATGGCACAATGGTGTTGCTGTGAGTGCACAAATTATCTTCGTCGTGCACAACTATTTCCTGTCTGTCCCATTCAAATTTGACCATCTGATGGAGTGTTGATGGTACTGCTTTAGCAGTGTGGATCCATGATCGCCCTAATAGCAAATTGTAGGAAACAGCTATATCCAGCACTTGGAATTCCATTGTGAATTCTACTGGACCTATAGTTAGTTCCAACATTATGTCCCCGACTGAGTCTTTTCCTCCGCCGTCAAATCCTCGCACATAGATAATGTTCTTATGGATCCTCTCATCTTCTACTTTCAGCTTGCTTAGAGTGGAGAGAGGACAGATGTTCGCACTTGAACCGTTGTCAACCAATACCCGGGTAACCATGGAATCCTTGCATTTTACTGTCAGGTAAAGGGCTTTGTTGTGCTTAGTACCTTCTACGGGCAATTCATTATCGGAAAAAGTGACTATGTTTACTTCAAAAATCTTGTTGGCTATCTTTTCCAGATGGTTTACCGAGATCTTGTCAGGGACAAGGGCCTCATTCAAGATTTTTATCAGCGACTGACGGTGCTCATCTGAATGGATTAGCAATGAGAGCAATGAGATCTGAGCAGGCGTTTTCCTCAACTGCTCTACAACAGAATAGTCATGCACTTTCATTTTCCTCAAAAATTCCTCTGCCTCTTTTTTAGTTACAGCTTTCTTCACCGGCGTTGGATCATCTTTAGTTCTTCTCAACTCCTCGGGAGTAAAACACCTTCCTGAGCGAGTCAAACCTTGTGTTTCACAAACTTCTTCTTTGATTTCTTTTCCTTTGTAAATCACGGTCACCCGTTCATAATTTCAAGGAACAGCTTTGTTATTGATCACTGGAAGCTGAGTTACTGGTTTTATAATAACAGGCTCTGTGCGAGCCCCCTTAACGACCATAACAGGTTTACTTGCAACCCTTGGTACTACCACTTTAGCTTTCTCGGGTTTCACTGCAACAATGCTTGACGACCATTTCTCGGCTACCACAACTGGCTTATTGTCTACCCCTTTCAACTGGACCATTGATTTCCCATTAGTTACCTTTTCCTTTGAGCTGGTTTCACTGGAACATACCATCATTACCGTCAGCGAGGGCTTCTTGGGATCCCCTCCTTTGTGTATCAACTCAATCATATGAGTCTCATGGTGAGTTGGCAGTGGATTCTAATTGATATTTGGTGCTTTTGGGGCCTGAACCTCGATCCGATGAGTATCAATAAGCTCTTGCACAGCTATTTTTAGTTTCCAACATTTCTCTGTATCATGCCCCGGGGCTCCTGAACAATACTCATAACTCACCGAATGGTCAAG